GGTTACCTCGACAGGGAGTCAGAATTCTAGTTTGCATTAAATTATCCAGCTTACACCAGGTGATATATCTCAACAGTCGAATTTTTGCATGTACACAATAGAAAAAGGTCTTTCAACGTTTCCCTATCCTGGGCTAGCCGCCTGATTTTATTTCATGCCTTCCCATTTTTCTGTACATTAATTTCTGTGACTCATCTCCAGGTTCCACGTGGTCTTCCCCTTGATCTTTTACTCTGTGGGTTCCAAATCAGCACTTTCCTTGTTATGCAGCTGCTTGACTTCCTGAGAGTAGGTCCAATCCATCGTCACCGCCTTCTTCCCACCTCATCTCGTCTTGTTCTCCTTAATGCTTCCTCGTTGGTGACTCCGTCTGTCCATCTGATACTCACTAACTTCCGTAGACACTAGAACTTGTTAAAAAAAACTGGATCCTCTTTGTGCAAGTCTGAGATGCGTTCCATGACTCATACAAAATCCGTTCTACCCTCGAAACTCCTGCGTGATGCAGCCGCCCAATCTCACCGATCACGGCAAAACCCAGCAGCGGATATTTGACATTTTTTGTCTTCTTAGTAGTACAGTCGACCACGGATGAATTGATGTCATCGGTAGAGGGGAAAAAAGATCAATTCATCCGAAGTTCATCTTAATCGTTGGGACTTGTGGAGAAGAAGAGGTGCTGGGACCCGATAAAAAGATCCACTTAAACGAAGATCAAATCAAGCGAGTTCAACACAAGCGGAATCGACTGTATTTAAATTTTCCCGGTCAAAATGCAAGCCACTCCATTTTGCCTTATGTAAATATAAGTGTTTAACAGTTCGAAATTTGTAATTTTAAGTTAGAGAGTTACATGCCTTTTAGCGTTTAAAATAAAGAAAACAAAATCGAAAAAAAAAAATGTTTGAATAAAGAAGTTATGCTCCCAAACGGCACATCTTCATTCTTTGTGGAATGACCAATCAAAATGCGCGTCCTCAATGAGTTAACCCCCCCCACACACACACACACTAACAATGAGGTGGGCAGCTTCCACTCTACTCGCCACTACCACCCCAGGCTGAGTGGGATAAAATCCGTAAAACATTCCAGCAGAACGACGATAATAATATACTCAATGAAGATAAAACTTCACCACTCTGAAGTCAAACTCACGTCACCTGCGTGTGACGGCTATGGGCGTAACTGCTACACCACAGACGCCGGTCACTTCGCCTCATAGGGGGTGCCAACTGGCACAATCGGTTCAGTTTGGTAGGTGGGGCTTGCTAGTTTGAAGAACGCGCAAAGCGATAATCGAGGCACAAACCGATCGCCCGACTCGCGGCCTAATACGGGGTACCCAATACGGATGGGATCGACCGATCGGGCCGATCGCCCTACTTGGTCGCCTAAAAAACAAATGTGTTTGTTTTCAGTTTCAGGCGACCGGGCCGGGCAATCAGCCCGATCCAGCCGTAGTGGGCACCCCGTATAGAAAAAAACAAACGCGTTTTGTTTTCAGGTAAAGAATCGGGCGATGGATTGGCGATCGGGTTGTTGAACCCGTCCCTCCCCCCTCCCCCAAATGGGCACTGGGTATTATCAACGCTACCATGATAACGAGATCCTCAGAAGTAGGCCCCAGTGCCTGGAGGGACTCCGGCTCGTGCTCCGTTAGCTTGTAGTGGAAGACGGTGCCGGCAATGGGGAACTTCCGAGGCCAGTCGATGGTCCACTCTCCGTTGATGAAGTATTTGTTTTGGCCGTCCTTCAGGGCTGGGGGTATAGATAGATAGATAGATAGATAGATAGATAGATAGATAGATAGATAGATAGATA